TCAATGCGTGCACTTATTCTTCTGTTAGTTTGTCCAATGTATGTGGTGGGGCAGGCAGTGCAGGGGATTTCGTATACTCCTTGGTTTTCTAATTCGATTCGATTTCTAAATATGTCTATGTAGATTGTGTCTATTGCTTTGCCCTGGTCGAGTGGTGTAGTCCATATGTTTTTGCAGTGTAAGAGTTGCAGATTACATGATAGTTGAATCTTTCCCAAGTTCTCTCTGGGTTTATTAAAATCTCAGACTCTAGTGTCATTATGTTCTATTGCTCATGTTTGCATTATGTTGAATTCTAATATGACATGGTCACTCTCACCCAAGGTGTCAACTCATAAAATATTTCTCTGGTCTGTTAGAGTTGCCAACAGAAAGGGAGGGGAGAGTAGTGTAGCAGCTGCAAAACAGAAATTGCATTCCATGGATGTTTTCATAGATAGTTTCCAGGTGGCCAAAGTTTCTGCTGTGCAAAATTCTAACTGGAGAATATGATTGATGACTTTTGGCTATGGTTATGTCCCATTGGAGAATATGAATTATGATACACCCAGGGAGTGGGGGAAAACCAGGGTCAAGGGTGACAATGAATGATGTGTCTCAGAATCGGCTACACCCAGGCAGCACCAACATGTCTTCTCTTAATAAAACTTCTTTGAGCTTTGAAAATCAGGCTAGTGACTCATGATTTAAATGGGGGGTACTATCAGAGCCCTGACACAAGGTTCCTGCAATTTCAACTCCCTCTATCACTTCTTCTCTGTTTGTAAGATTTAAGTCCAGTATGGCTGTCCCTCTAGTTCCATCCTTTACCTTTTGGACAACAAAGTTGTCAGCTAGGTTGGTTAGGAACCTATTTGATTTCTCACTTGCAGAATTAATTTTCCAATTGATATCAGAATAATTGAAGTTCCCCATTACTATTGTAGTGTGTTTCCTACATATATTTGTTAGTTGGTTGGCAAAAAGGACATCTATTTTTTCTGCTTGATTGGGTGAGCTGTATAGTATACACCTATGGCCATGTTGTTCCATATTAGCAGGCTTGAACCCTGCGTTCCTATTGGTCCAGAAAAGCCGGGTCGTGATTGGATGGCTTGAATGTTCCTGATTGGCTCATACAGGGTTTGCCGCGATTGGCTGAAACCAAGCGTGGCAAACTCAAAGAGTTGTCATTGGCTGCCTAGCCACGGCCAGCTCTATAAGAAAAGCTGCTGCGCGCTAGGGTTTTTGTCTCAGAATCTATCTGTTAAATAAAGAGCTGTTGTTCACTACTCAAGCCTCGTCTATTCATGGGACCCACCGACCATACTTAACACTGGCGACAAGGATGGGATTCTGAGACAACAAGGCTGACCAGCACGTGGCGAACGGCACAGAGACGACCAGCGAAATGGCCAGCAGCGCCACACCACCTGCACCATTTAACCCAGCCAGCAAGGACTGGGAGTCCTACATTGATCGTTTCCAAATGTTTTTGGAATCCAACAACTTGAAAAACCCCACCGGCAGCAAGAAACGGGCGGTATTTTTAATGCACCGCGGGCCTGCCATTTTCAAAATGGCCAGGGCGCTAGCAAAGCCCGCAGATGTCAAAATGATGGATTGGGACAACCTAGCTCCCATCCTCCGAAACCACTATGCTCCAGCCATACCAACTCTTATCCGAAGGCATGATTTTCATCAACGAGACCAGCGTGAGGGCGAGAGCATCGGTGAATTCATGGCCAACCTGAGGGACCTTGGAGGTTTGTGTGGATTCGCTAACCTGGATAAGGCCATGCGAGACCAGGTCGTTCTTGGCCTGAAAGACCCAGCACTCCAAAGCAGAGGGTGACATCTCCCTCATCGATGCCATAGCCAAAGCAACCGCAGCCGAAGCTACCCACAAATCAGCAGCCCGAACGTAGGTCTAGTCTTTTGTCTCATTTCTTTCAACAATTAATATTACAAGCAGGCAGATTAATCAAGAGAAATATTCCTTTCATTAGATTGCACATATTTGTATAAATATTTGTATACAGTTATAAGGCCACTTTATCCCAGAGGGTATAGAAAAAGAACAGAAAGTTCACTGCATTTACTTAATTAGTTCCTCATTTAGAGTCCTTGACATGATGCTGATAATAAAAAACAGAAAATATGTAAAAATAATATAAACAATCAAATAACTTCAAAATGAAACAATCAATAACTTCAAAATATTAGATATAACCAAATGATTGAAGGTCTGCCCTTTTTAATGTTTGTCATACACATATAATACATGTAAAGGGGGCAGGGATTTAAACTTGTATGAAAAGGCAGAACTCACATGTTTTTCTGAGATCTTGCCAGATAGTGAGTGAGTGGGTGTCCTCCTAATGGAGATGTGTCTCAGGGAATGTAATCCCTAACTGATTATGGATGGCCATCATTCATACTTTTGAATATATTGCTCCTTTTTGCTTTCTGTAGTTAGATAATTGTCTTATTGTAATGAGCTTGCCAGAGTCAGCAGGGTTGGTATCATTGATAAATACTGTCAAATACAAAATTTTCAGTTATTGGTAGTTCTGTTGGCTAGTTTGATTCTCTAAATACAGTTCTATGAAAAGCTATAGTTTCATGAAGCTGAATTTATTTTAGCTTCTGCTAAGAAGAAAACAATGCAATTATGGCACAATTTTGAGTAATTCTAAACAAAGAATACAATCCTGCAAGAACAATGGTAATTAATGAATTCAGGTGTTCATAGAAGTAATAAAGGTTCCTCAATATATTGATGCAAGGATTTCTATAGAAGAGTATTATATGGCATTGTTGATAACATTAGCAACAGTGGTATCACCAATCAGTGCTGTTCCTCTGAATTTGCCAAGATAGGTAGCATACTGAAAAGTTTGCAATTGGAAGAACAATAGCATCAATACTGTACATTTGATATACTGATGGACATTACCAAGAGTCAGAATATAAAAATATCAGCACTTCCAAGGGGTTGATCTTTTGAGTTAAGAAAAAAGAAGCCATCTCTGACAGTTACTCCTAGAATTGACAACAATGATCAAAACAGCTTTGACCCTTCCTGTAATATTCTGTATATTAGAAAAGTGATTCTCATGCCTTTGTAGGCTAAGCACCTTCCCATGGTCACACATGAGAAAGCCAAACCCTTTCTACTTAGCATAATTTTGTCTTGGGAAAGACTTGTTGCAATGTAGCAACACATTCATCTAGTGAATGTAATGTGACACAGCACATTTAGATTGTCTGAAGCCCAGTTGGTTCAGGTGCTGGGCAGGCATGGGATTCTACTGGTTTGGGCTGGTTTGGGCAAACCAGATGTTAATTGTACATCCAATTCGGCAAACTGGTAATTCCGAGACCAGCTGGCTCCACTCACCCCTAACCTTCAGTGTTGGAGCACCCAGAACTTCTGGAGAAAAGCAGTTCCACTGGTTAATTGTTTTCACTGTCAGGAAATTTCTCCTTAGTTTTAGATTGCTTCTCACATTGTTCAGTTTCTATCCATTGCTTCTTGTTTTGCCTTCTGCTTCTTTGGAAAATACATTGCCTCCCTTCTTTGTGGCAGCCCCTTAAAAGCTTGTTGCCTATCACACTCTTGGGCAAAGCATGTGAGCCATTTCCTCCTTTCAGTGGTCCATGAAACTACATCTATAGCATGTAGATAATAAAGTTGAAAAAGGTTAACAACATCTTACAGGACTATAGATACATTGAGGCTGAGTGTGACAAGGAATATCTGGGAAGTGAGGCACCTCTTGACGTGAGTGACATTGAGTTGGTCACACCCACCCAGTCACGTGACCATTAAGCCATGCCCACCCAGTCACATGACCACCAAACCACACCCATAAATTAAGCGACACCCACAGAGCCGGTTGTTAAGAAATTTGAATCCCATCTCTGCTGCTGGGTCTTTCAGCTAAAAATGAGGGAAACTCTCATTACTATTCTCCTTTCCATTTATAAGCTTATGACCCACTAAAGTCAGTCTTGACATCAGACTTGGGTCTATTCATTTCTATTGTGTATTTTTTTTTCTGGTCATCCCTTACTTGACTATGGCCTGCTCCCAACCTCTCACTCTGAAAATTGGTAAATTTATGCCCATTCTCTCTCCCTCCCTCTCTCTCTCTTAAATTTTCCTAAATAAAGAACATAGACAAAATTAATGAAATACAAGTTCTCTAATTTTTAAAAAGAAGCATGCCATCCAAATTGATATCATCTTCCTAACAGTAACAGATAAAATACTTCAGCTTTTTTCCTACAGTTCCATTCTACAAATTGCTCTGTCTGTTTCTATAGCAACCTTTTGTTTGTTTGTTACTAGCAAACCACTCTGAAAATGGCCTATGGGAGGTGGATCTGAAAAGATTGACATAAATAACTATAATACCATGCATATAAACTGTACTACATTTGAAAAAGGAATTCATTTGTGAATTAAGAAATAATACTGAAAGGAAGATTGCTCTGGCATTTAAACTGTATAAATGGCTACCTTATGTGTACATTTCTTTTTCATTACCACCATCTACTTCACCAAATTAAATTATTACCCAAACTTCTCAGCTATGCATTCCAGCTCTCTCACATATGGAGAACATACTCTGAACAGACAGTTCTGGGAAGCATCCCTTCCCCACCCCAAAAAATCCTCTGCTTCTATTATGGTTCTGAAAGATGAATTGCTTGAGATTAAACAGGATAATTTACAACTGCTCTGGCTAGTAGTCGCTAAGAGCATCATCCTTTTAAAAAATCTGCCCACTCCTTGTTTAAGATTTGTGTTCAGGTGATAGTCAGTATGGATAGTCAGTTCCATGTCACTGAATGACTCCATGTTCTAGACAGGTTGGGTTGTGTAGTCAAGGTGTGTTCAGAATAAAGACTTCCAACACTGGAAATGATGGGAAATTTTACAGTTATCAATATTGGGGGGAATATGTATGATAAAAATGAATGCATTGCCTAGAACAGGGGTTCCCAAACTGGGGTTCTCGCACCCCCTGGGGATGTGAGACGATATTCCAGGGGGTGCAAGAAAAGTCCAGGTAAATAATAGGATATTGGCTATATGTTGGCATTTTTATTTATTATTTATTTCAGGGGGTGTAAGGTTCGAGTGAAATTTCTTTAGAGGTGCGGGGCGAAAAAAAGGTTGGGACCCACTGGCCTAGAATAATGTTTTCTTTCAAACAATACCATCTATGGCAACCAATTCACTGTTTGTAATGACAAAAACATACATCTAGGTTTACATAGTAAGGAGGTGGGGGAATCAAGTGTTAAATTTAAAATTCTCCAAGATGCAAAGGAATAAGGAAGAGTAGGACTGACATATTTTAAACTGTATTTTGCAGTCTGTTGTTTAGTTTGGATAAAAGAATGGTTGCTTTTGAGAAACAAAAGGATGTTAGAATTAAAAGATCATAACTTGAGGTTTGGACAGTATGGTTTTCTATGGTATAATAAAGTTAATGTAGAATTTGAAATACTTATGTTCAGAATGCCATATACAGGTGAAACTCAAAAAATTAGAATATTGTGCAAAAGTTCATTTATTTCAGTAATACAACTTAAAAGGTGAACCTAATATATGAGATAGACTCATTACATGAAAAGCAAGATAGTTCAAGCCGTGACATGTCATAATTGATATGATTATGGCTTACAGCTCATGAAACCACAATCTCAGAAAATTAGAATATTGTGAAAAGGTTCAATATTCTAGGCTCAAAGTGTCCCACTCTAATCAGCTAATTAAGCCATAACACCTGCAAAGGGTTCCTGAGCCTTTAAATGGTCTTTCAGTCTGGTTCAGTAGGAAGCAAAATCATGGGAAAGACTGCTGACCTGACGGTTGTGCAGAAAACCATCATTGACACCCTTCATAAGGAGGGAAAGCCTCAAAAGGTAATTGCAAAAGAAGTTGGATGTTCCCAAAGTGCCGTATCAAAGCCCATTAATAGAAAATTATGTGGAAGGGAAACGTACGGAAGAAAAGGGTGCACAAGCAGCAGGGATGACCGCAACCTGGAGAGGATTTTCAGGAAAAGGCCATTCAAAAGTGTTGGGGACTTTCACAAGGAGTAGACTGAGGCTGGAGTCGGTGCATCAAGAACTGCACACACAGACGGATCCTGGACATGGGCTTCAAATGTCGTATTACTCTTGTCAAGCTGCTCCTGAATAACAAACAATGTCAGAAGCGTCTTACCTGGGCTAAAGAAAAACAGAACTAGTCTGTTGCTCTCAAAGTCCTCTTTTTTTGATGACAGCAACTTTTGCATCTCATTTGGAAACCAAGGACCCAGAATATGGAGGAAGAATGGAGAGGCACACAGTGCAAGATGCTTGAAGTCCAGTGTGAAGTTTCCACAGTTTGTGTTGATTTGGGGAGCCATGTCCACTGTGTTTCATTAAGTCCAAGGTCAACACAGCCATCTACCAGGAGATTTTAGAGCACTTCATGCTTCCTTCCGTAGACGAGCTTTATGGGGATGCTGACTTCATTTTCCAGCAGGACTTGGCACTTGCACACACTGCCAAAAGCACCAAAACCTGGTTTAATGACTGTGGGATTATTGTGCTTGATTGGCCAGCAAACTCACCTGACCTGAACCCCATAGAGAATCTATGGGGCATTGCCAAGAGAAAGATGAGAGACATGAGACCGAACAATGCAGAAGAGCTGAAGGCTGCAAATGAAGCATTGAGGTCTTCCATAACATCTCAGCAGTGCCACAGGCTGATAGCTTCCATGCCATGCCACATTGCTGCAAAAGGGAGCCAAACCAAGTACCAAGTACATATGTATCTTACTTTTTCCATACCATAAGAAAGCATGCCAACCCAATTACAAGTCATGCTCCTCCAATGTCAGTAGCCTTGTATTCCTTAATACAATCCACTCTTTCATCCATGTTAATAACGTGTTAATACAATTTCCAATTGGGTAGCCCACACCCTCCTCTAGTTCACACCCTCTTCTAGTTACATCCTGCAACGTTTTTAAATTAATTTTTGCTTTTTTCCCTTGCCATATATATTTCAACATTATTCTATTTAGAACTTCAAAAAAATTTTCTCCAGTTTTATTGGAATTGTTTGAAATAAATACAATAATCTCGGCAATATATTTATTTTAATTGTGGCTATTCTCCCTGTCAGTGATAACTGCAGATTTTTCCATTTTTCCAGGTCTATCTTAATTTGTTGTTTCAATTTATAATAGTTATGTTCCTTATTCATCACATATTTTGCTTTTAATTGGATCCCTAAATATTTCACTTTCTTCGTGATCTGAATATCTAAACTTTCCATTAATTCTCTCTTCTGTTTTCCTGCAACACTTTTACTAAAATCTTAGTTTTTTTCTTTATTTATTTACAGTCCTTCCACCTCACTATACTCTTCTATCTTTTTAAATTAGTTTAGGACCTATTTCTTATGGCTCTTCCAGTATGAAAATAAGATCATCTGCAAATACCTATAATTTATATTTTTCCTTTTTTATTTCCATACCCTTTGTCTAATGCCTAATATTTCTATTTGTTACTTCTAAAGTCAATATGAACAACAATGGTGACAAGGGGCATCCTTGCCTTGTTTTCTTCTTAATATTAACCTTTTCAGTCATTTCTCCATTCACCATTACCTTTTCAGGTTTTTTTGTAGTATATTGCCTTGATCATTTTAGTAAACCTCTCCTCAAAGTCCATTTATTTCAATTGTGCCAACATAAATTGCCAGTTCACATTTTCAAATGCCTTCTGCACTTCTAAGAAGATCAACGCCATTTGCTTCTCTGTGTGCCCTTCATAGTATTCCAAGGTATTCAAAATTATTCTCATATTGTCTCTTATTTGTCTCTTAGGTAAAAGAAAACATTTTGGTCTGAATGTATAAATTGATTTAAAAGTCTCTTTAGTCTTTCTGCCATTATTGAAGCAAATATTCCATAATCCACATTCAATAAAGATATCGGTCTATAGTTTTTTTATCTGTTGTAAATCCTAATCTTCTTTTGGTATGAGAGTAATGTATGCTTCCGTCCATGAACTTGGTATTTCGCCTCTCTCAATACTGCATTGAATATTTCCAACATTGTGTTGCTAAAAGAATTCTGTAAGGTTTTGTATAGCTCCGCTGGTAACCCATCTGGGCCTGGCACCTTGCCATTATTTTGTCTTTTTATTGCCTCTGTTAATTCCATCATTGTTATTCTTTCTTCTAACATTGTTTTAATTGTTTGTCAAATTTTAGGTAATTCTGCCTCTTCTAAATATTGTTTTATTTTATTTTTTGAGATTATCTCTTGGTCATATAGTTTTTCATAGTATTTCTGAATTATGTCCTTTTTAACTTCATTTCCATAGCAAAGAATTCCTTTATCATCTGTTAGTTGAATAATCCATTTCTGTTCTTTTTCTTTCTTCATTCTGTATGCCAGCCACCTTCGTAGTTTATTTGCAGTTTCAAAAAGGTTTTGTTTAGCTCGTTTATTATTATTTTTAAAAATATTTTTATTAAACATATTTCATCATTTTATATCACTTTTGCAGTGCTCCAGCATCAATAATACTCATATATACATATCAATTACATTCCTTTTTCTTCCTTTAACTATATACATTGCCCTTAAGTTTAATATACCTCTTAAATTATCTTTATATTGACTTCTGGTGCTGATTTAAGGACGAGTGAAGGTGCTGAAGCCTATTTGTGGCTTTTTGCTATCTTTTCTTGCTGTTGGTGCGATCTCTCAGGGTGCACATACCCCATAGAGAAATGTGTCAGTGTGGGGAGACTCAAGCTGTGGTGTAGAGAAGGCAACTCTCATTGCAATGTAGAGACACCCTGTAGAGACCAACAATGGCAGTCCTGAAGTCCGAACTGTTACCTACAAGAGGAAGCAAGTGAGTGACAGACTGTGGTGGTTAATGAAGAAGAGTGTGTGTGAGGAAATTTGTGATCCTGATAGAGCATGGAGCATTGAAGAAGTATTGTAGATGACAACAGGAAGAGCCAGATCGGAGCCCAAAAGAAGCAGCTAAGAAGCAGATGTGAGAGGGAGTGAAAGTGAAAGGGCATGAGAGACAGAAGAGAGTAAGGACACTAACGATCAGATAGAGAAGATGGGAAGATCGGAGAGGTCTGTCTCACTGATACCAATGGGAGAAAAAAAAATTAACAATTGAAAGGTGTAAGTGATTTGATTTGTTTCCACCCAGGAAGACTGGACTTATCAAGTTGGAGATGGGAGGAAGATCGGAAGTGGTGAAGCAAGTGGGGACATTGTGTTACTATAGATGATATTTAACAACTTATTTGTGCTTTTTGGACTATCGATCTGGAGGTGTAATATGTGGATTGTTGATTGAAGAGACTGTCTTAGGTGAGGAAATTCAGAGGATCTGACTTTAAGAAATTTGAGTTGAAAGGAGGAATGGATATAGCGGAGTGTGCTGAGATACTGTGAAACCATAGACATTACTCAGCAACTCTCCACTTCCCATGCGCTTGGAGATGGAATTTCCCAACTTCAGAGATGGAGAGTTGAACAGTTACATTAAGATCTTTTATTCTTCTCAATCTCTGCCATTTTGACTAGCTATCTCTCCCCTATTAATTTTTCTTTTTAGTTACGGATAAGAAGAAAAGACAATCGATTGTGGTAATGGTGATGGCTTATCTGATTTAGTTGATGTAGAAGTACTGAGATTTATATCTCATTTAGATATATAGAAAAGACAAGGGAAATAATAATAGCATTAAGCATCAATTATTTAACAATGATAATTAATTAAATAGCAATATTTGAATATACTTGCTGATCATTTTAAATAGTTAATTGTTATATAGTGAGGTGAATTTATTCCTATTTAGAGTTATAAATGTTTAAAATATAATTTTATAATATATACATTTAGATAAAGTACTCCATAGAATCTATAGATATTTGGATTTATACATAGTATTTGTATATAGGATTAGAGAGATAGGATAAAGCAGTTATCATTACCAATATTTAGAAGTTAAGTATAGAGATTGTGATATAAGTACCAGATTCTATGTAATTATATATCTGATTTAGAATTTGAATTTGAAATTACCTTGGATAATATTTACATTTATAAGATTATCTAGCCTACCAATATACTAAGGAATCTAGAAAGCTAATAGATAGACAAATCAATCAATTAGATTAGTGTCTACTTTCACCTTATATTATTTAATATTGAGTGTTAATTTGGGATAACGTAATTAATATAGTACAAAAACAGAAACAAATTCTAAAAGAAATGACTTCTACAACTACTACAACTCTTAAAACTGGGAAGAAGACTATTCCAACACTAACAACCTCATTGACATCGCCCTTAACTATGGCACAAAAGACAATCGAGGAAACATTACCAGGGGAGAACCAATCCTCTACCACAAATGCCAATATCCAGTCGACACTTCTCACCTTACAAGAATCTATGCTGAAGTTACACGAATTAATGATGAAAAACCATATTGAGACAAGAGCAGATTTAAATGAACTAAAAGAGATGGGGAAACTATAAGCAGAAATGAAAGTAGACATTTCCAAACTGGATGAGAAAATTGGAACAATACAGCAAGCATTGGAAAAAAATGAATCAACAATAAAAGAGGTAGAGAAAAGGATAGAACAAATTGAAAAGAAACTGGAAATGGTGGATGAACACCTAAGGAATGTGAGCAAAGAAATGGAAGACTCACTGGTCTACTTGGAGATGGATAAGGCTGCAGCATACTTAAGATTCCAGAATATAGTGGAATCAAAAGAAGAGGATCTGGAACAGGTGATAGCAGAAATATTGGCGGAAATGTTGGAAAAAGACAAAGATGATATTATGAAAGAGTTGGATGAAGTTTATAGAGTGAGTACAAATTATACATGATGCCACAAATACCCAAAAGAAGTCCATGTAAGATTTGCTAGAAGAAAGGTCCTGGATATCATATACAAAATATCTAGAGAAGAAACAATTAAATACAAAGATAAAGAAATCGTGGTTCTTAAACAAATCCCAAGAAGAGTGAGAGAAAAAAGACGAGACTATAAATTTTTGGCAGCCCAATTAAACCAAAAAGGTATTGTATTTAAATGGCTAGTCCCAGAAGGGATGTTAATTACATGGGAAGAAAGGAAAGTTAAAATAGATTCCATGGAAAAAACCCAAGAATTTTATGAATGATTGGTAGGCCCAGAAGAACTGAGTAGTAAGGATGAACTAGAATCAAACTCCCAAGAACACCAAGATCATCAAAAGAATAGAGACAGGAGCCCAGGAAATCCTAAAAACACACAACAACAAGAGAGAGAAGAACCGAGGACACACTACAAGCCACAAAGAGAAAGGGGAGCAACTACAAGACAAAGGGCGAGAATTAACTAGACAATAAAAGAGGAAAAGAAAATACTATCAATTAACATAAATGGTCTAAACTCCACGACAAAAAGAAAAAGAACATTAGCCAAATTAATTAAACAAAATGTGGATGTAGTATGTTTACAGGAAACTAACATAAGAAAGTCAGATGAAAAATATTTAGAATGCCCCAAGCTAGGGAAATTATATACGGCACCTGCAGACCCCAGGAAAAAGAAAGGGACAGCGGTATGTGTAAAAGATGACATGAAAGCAGATCTAATTTGGACAGATCCTGACGGAAGAATTCTGGTTCTGCAAATCTGGATTAACTCAATTCCAACTCTATTAGTGGTAATTTACACCCCCAATGAAAACAAAAAAAAAATTCTTGAAACATTTGTATGAAAGAATAGTAGGATTAGAAAAAAAAAACATTTGTATCTTAGGGGACTTCAATACCATTGTGGACCATCAAAAAGATCACAGTAGTGGGGGGAGAAAGAAAGAAAAAGAAAAAGAGAGAGTTGCCAAAAATATGTGGAAATGATGACTGAAATAAACTTGATAGATACGTGGAGAAGGTTAAACGCAGAGAAAAAGCAATTTACGTTCTATTCAAATCCACACCAATCATGGACAAGAATTGATATGGTATGGATGAACGGTGAAATAGCAAATGAATTAAAAGAGACTGAAATTTTACCTAACAAATGGGCAGATCATAACCCAATTCAGATACTTTGGAAAGGTAGGGAAAAGCCAAAGAAAAGGTGGATGCTAAATATTCAGCTAATTTAAGAAAAAGAATTTATGAACAGACTTAAGGAAGAAAACAATTATGATAAACTTCTCCAACAAACTAAGAAAGACTTAGATTTTTGGAGCAATTTACAACTTTCCTTATTGGGCAGGATTGCTTTGATTAAGATGAATATTCTGCCAAAATTTCTATATTTATTCCAGACAATACCAATTAAACTAAATAAAAAAATTTTTACGGAACTAAACAAGATAACATTGAATTTCATTTGGCAAGGGAAAAAAGCTAGGATTAACGTAAAAGCCCTACAAGATTTGAAAAGCAGAGGAGGGTTAGCCTTGCCAAACTGGGAAATATATCATACGGCAGCCACCCTCCTATGGATAAAGGATTGGGTGAACCTAACCAACAAAAGAACACTAGTATTAGAAGGCCACGATATGCAGAAAGGATGGCATGCCTTTCTGTGGGAATCTGGGAAACCCAGGCAATCATATTTCCATAGGCATCTTATCAGGGACTCTTTATTAACTAATTGGAAAAAAGTACGTAAAAAGATTTATTTAAAAATACCGATTTGGATATCCCCAATGGAAGCGATAGTACACCCTAATAATTTGGATATAACCAAAATGATTAAGTACGAAAATTTATTAGACCCACAAGGAAAATTGAAAACACGACAAGAACTGCAAGAGCGAGGATCTATAATTGATCAGTGGGTGTACCTACAAATTCATAGTAAATACAAACAAGACATTAAGGAATTCGGAATCTACAATAAATTACAGACCCTAGACAAAATTCTACTAGGACCAAGTAAAAAAAATATATCTAAATTTTACAAATATTTATTAGAAACAGAACTAGAACAAGAAATTGTCAAGGGAAATATGATTGCGTGGAGCAGAAATGTGGGTCGGAGCATTACCCTAGCAGAATGGGAAAAGATCTGGAACAGGAACATTAAGATCACAAAATCAGCAGCTTATAAAGAAAACTTATATAAAATGTTTTATAGATGGCACCTGCCCCCTTCGAGATTGGCGAAGATGCACCCCAACACGAGCCCCAAGTGTT